TCGCCCCCGCCCCGTGGGCGGCCTGGCCCCTCGACTCCTGGTGCCGCGGCCCCTCGCGGTGAAGCCCTCCGCGGCCCACGGGCGCCCACTGACCCCGGCCCCACAGGTCCCGCGTGGCCTCGGGGCCCCCGCGGGTCTCTCACGACTAAATAAAGTCTTAAAAAAAAAAAATCAGTGCCTGGCATTTCAACCTCCCGCCTGACGGGGTGAGAGGGCGGTGGGGAGACGAGCACAGGGCCCGGGTTCACGTAGGGACCCCAGGCCCGGGAGGCGAGCGCGGGAGGCCCTGCGTGCTGCTGCGGGAGCGGCCCCTCCGGGCCTCCACACTGGCGTGTGGGGCCCACGTCCCGGGATGGGGAGCTGCGGAGGGGCGCCCGGTGGCTCGGCGCCTGGCCTCGGTGGGGCTGACGGCCTGGTCCGTGCTTCCTCCGGCCCCTCGGCCCCCTCAGGCCCCCTCAGTTGCCCCAGACCCCTCAGGCCCCCTCGGCCCCCTCAGCCCCCTCAGTTGCCCCAGCCCCCTCGGCCCCCTCAGCCGCCCCGGCCCCTCGGCCCCTCGGCCCCCTCAGTTGCCCCAGCCCCCTCAGGCCCCCTCGGCCCCCTCAGCCCCCTCAGTTGCCCCAGCCCCCTCGGCCCCCTCAGGCCCCCTCAGCCGCCCCGGCCCCTCGGCCCCCTCATGCCCCCTCAGCCCCCTCAGTTGCCCCAGCCCCCTCAGCCGCCCCGGCCCCTCGGCCCCCTCAGCCCCCTCAGTTGCCCAGGCCCCCTCGGCCCCCTCAGTTGCCCCAGCCCCCTCAGGCCCCCTCGGCCCCCTCAGCCCCCTCAGTTGCCCCAGCCCCCTCGGCCCCCTCAGCCGCCCCGGCCCCTCGGCCCCCTCAGTTGCCCCAGGCCCCCTCGGCCCCCTCAGTTGCCCCAGCCCCCTCAGGCCCCCTCAGCCCCCTCAGTTGCCCCAGCCCCCTCAGGCCCCCTCAGCCCCCTCAGCCCCCTCAGTTGCCCCCGCCCCCTCAGGCCCCCTCGCCCCCTCAGGCCCCCTCGGCCCCCTCGGCCCCCAGCGCTCAGCGGCTCCTCCGGGTGCGAGGCCTCGTCCTGCCGCGCCGGGCGCCACCCCGAGGGCCCGCGTCTCCGTGTGGTGCAGGCCGGGAGCAGAGCGCGGCGACGTCGGAGCTCGCCCGGATCCAGGCGGCTGCGGGGCTCCGCCAGCCCGTGTCCCCCGCCGCGGCCTCAGGGCTTGTCCCCGGGTCGTCGTCCGCCCGCCGGGGGCGCCCTCAGCCCTGCCCGCCCGGGTAGGCCCTGCCCCGATGAGGCGGCCCCGGCAACAGGCGGGAACAGGCCGGCCGGCGAGCGGAGGACGCGGCCTCCACAGCGAGGACCTGGGCGTGTCACTTGGCCCCGAGGGCGCGGCCGCCTCAGGAGCGGGGCGGACCCCCCCACCTCCGCTGACCGCCCCCGCCCTGAGCGCCCTCGGCCCGCGGCGCCGCCTCGCGCTGTCACTACACGCGTGTGCGCGTTGGGAACCTCTGCAGCCGCGTGTGCCCGAGCAAGCGCCGCGCACAGACGCCCGCCTCCCCAGGAGCCCCAGCTCGGGCCGGGGCGGAGCCAGGGGCGGGCGGGGCGGGGCGGGGCGGCGGGAGACGGCCCCGGGTGCGGGCACAGATGGGAGAGAGGCCGCGTCTCCCAACACCTGCACCTGCGTGACCCTGTCACGTGACGAGGGTGGGCCAGGGCAGGTCGGGCTCCCAGGGGAGACGGCGATTTGCCGCAGGTCGCGGAGCGGATGGTGCCGGTGGGGCACAAGGGGCGCCGGGGGCCCAGGGCGTGACCCCGGGTCCTGGGATCGAGTCCCGCGTGGGGCGCCTGCAGGGGGCCTGCCTCTCGCCCGGCCTGGGTCTCTGTCTCTCTGTGTCTCTCTCTGTGTCTCTCTCTCTGTGTCTCTCATGAATGAATAAGTCAAACCTTAAAAAAACCCACCTAGAGCGGAGCCAGGGCTCCCGGCCGAGCCCCAGGACTGGCGAACCCCGATGCTCTCCCTGAGGCGACGGTGCGCCCACTGCTTCCTGGTGAGCAGGTGGGGCGAGAGGCGCTGACCCCGCTGACCCCGAGGCCCGGCCGCCTCCCTGCGGCTCCGGCTTCTCCGGGGTCGTGACCTGCGCCCGGCGCCGCCCGGACGGAGACGATGCCGCAGCTTCGAGGCCGCGGACAGGCCAGGCCCTTGGGCTTCCCCTGCCGCCAGCGCCTGACTCGGCCTGAGCGCTGTTTCCTGCCCCGCGTGGGGCCGCGTGGGGGTCACAGGGCCCCGAGACCCTCCCTCCCGGCTCCACTGTCACGTCTGCAGGCCGCTACCTGCGCGGCGACCCCTCAGGCCTTCACATTCAGGCTGCGCGTGTCCGCGGATCCCCCACAGCTGACGTGGCCGCAGACCTTATTCTCGCAGCTCCTTGTGCCCCCGCCGCCGGCCGAGCCTCCCGGCCCGAGGTGCAGCCATGGTCCCCGCAGGCCTTGAGACACCTGCCCCCCGACTCCCAGCCAGGGACGGTGACCTCGGCCGTCTCCTCCCGGGGGCGCCTGGTGGGTGGGCGGCGCGGGGCGCTGAGGCAGGGGGGCCCAGTTCCGAAGGAACCGCCAAAACGCCCGGTGAAGACGTGCGGCCCGGCCGCAGCCCAGGACCATCGAGTACAGAGACCCCGAGAGCACGGCAGGCCCTGGAGCCCACAGAGCTCGACGTTCCCCGCTCTGCGCCCCTTTGTGTTCCAGGGACCAGCACCCTCGTGCCGGAGTCAGGATCTGGTCTGCACCTGGCTGCCTCCCGCGCCCTTAGCAAAGCCGGTCCCAGGAGCCCACGGCCTCCCCACGGCCTCCCCACGGCCTCCCCACAGCCTCCCCATGGCCTCCCCACGCAGCGGGCCTGCGAGCTGCGAGGCCTCGGGAGGCTGAGGGCGCCCCTGGGCCTTGGCGGAAGTGCCAGTAGGTGCCAGGCCCTGGAGAATCCCCGCACCCCTCGCAGCATTTGCGGGCCTGGGGGGCCTCGGCCTAGGGGGCCTCACGGCTTGGGCCCGATGAATCCGTAGCCTGCTCCGCACGCGGCAGCCCGGGCTCTGCGTCAGGTCACACCACAGGCCCTTGGGCGGTGCAGTGACCACCGCAAGGGCCCCCCCCGCGTGTGTATGATTGAACGTGCCCCCTCGCACCCCGCGCTGGAGTTAGTCGCAGAGGACGCGGGCGGCTGTGCTCGCAGGGGCTCGGCGCCTTCCCTGTCGCGGCCGTCGCCCTCGGCGCCCCCACCGCCCTCCCCACGCCACGCTGCCCCGGCGGCCTGACAACAGGAAGCGGTAAATGAGGGTCAGTGTTATGACCCCTGGTGGCCCACGGGGAAGTGGCTGGTCCTGAGCCCTCCTCCCCTGCGGGCAAGAGCCAGGGGGAGCCAGTTCCCAGAGCTGCAGACTCCTCCGGCGCCCAGCGGCCGCCAGCCAGGACTCCGGGGACAGTGACGGCCCAAACTGTCACTCTCTGCCTCCTGCACTTCAGGCCCTGAGGCTCCGGCCACACCCGGCCCCAGGCGGCCAAGCGGCCCCCATCTGGGCAGCTCCTGACCCTGACTGTGGCTCTGCCCCTGAAGGCTGGCGACCTCCCCGCACGGTTGTCCCCAGCGTGAGTGGCCCGCGGCACTGGGTGCTCGGCCGTTCCCTCCACAGCGGGGGCGACAGTCCCTAAGAAACCAGCCTTCAGAAGCGGAGCTCTGCTGGGGGCAGCATCTCCAGCTGGGAAACAGGCAGAGAGCAGGTGCAGCCACGCGGCATCTTCCCCCAGGGCTCTCCTCCCCGCCCCCGGGTCTCCCCCAGGGGAGTCCGGGGTGATTCTGAGCATCGGTGGGTGGGTCTCCGTGACCTGTGGGGAGCCGGGGTGCGGGGCTCAGCAAGGGGGCGCCGCTGGGTCAGCAGGCCGCCGGGCCTCCACCCACCCACCCAGGCCGTGTCCCATGTGCCCTACACGCCCGCTGGCCCCAGCCCTGGTGCCCCCCTGCTGCATCTGACCCCCAGCAAGTCCCCCGAACCCCACGTACCCCCTGACCTTCCATCTGCGGGGAGGGGCTGGAACCCCCGCCCCCGGGATGGCTGCGGCCCAGAGCGGCTGGCCTCCTGGGGGTCGGGCCCTCTGCCCCCGGCTGCGCGCTCAGCGCTGTCACCCTGAGCCCGGGACATCCTGCCCCGTTGTGAACACGCTGGGAGAGGCTGGGCGCTGACGGCTCCAGCTGCGGCGACAGGAGCCACCGAGGTGGAAACTGGACATGGGGTCACGCACGGGACACGGGGCTCCGGCTCATCAGCCAGCGAGGACGGGCCGGGGGGCAGCGCTGCCCCGGGCCCCTGCAAGGCCGAGGCGGCGGAGGGAGGACAGCCAGGATGCCCCCCTGCTCCTGGCCGCTGACGCCGGCCTGAAAGAAGGGCCTGCACCCCACGCCCACGCAGCCCCAAGTCCCACGGGCGGGCCCTGGCTCGCCACTGAGGTGCAGCCGTGGGCAAGAAAGGTGCCTTCTGAGAAGAAATGTGTGGGAAATATCAGAAAGGGAGACAGAACATAAAGACTCCTAACTCTGGGAAATGAACTAGGGGTGGTGGAGGGGGAGGAGGGCGGGGGATGGGGGGTGAATGGGTGACGGGCACTGAGGGGGACACTTGACGGATGAGCACTGGGTGTTATTCTGTATGTTGGTAAATTGAACACCAATAAAAATTAATTTATAAAATAAATAAATAAATAAATTAAATAAAAAGAAAGGACACAAGACAAAAAAAAAAAAAAAAAAAAGGAAGGCGCCTTCCGAGCCCGCTCAGCGGGAAGAGCCGGCGCTGTGGGGGCCTCCCCCATGGGAACCTCGGAGCCGCTGCAGCCGGGGGCCGGGCCTACCTGGTGGCCTCTCACCGGGCCGGGCTGCCCCCCACGCAGAAGAGCGACTGTGGCCTCCTCACCCGGGCCCCCGATCGCAAAGGAAAACCTCCGCCACCCAGAGGTCTCAGTGCAGTCGGTTTTATTATTAAAGCTAAGATTGCAAAACGGCTGTCTCCCCCCACGAGCCGCCCACCCAGAGTCATCCCCTGTGTCCTGTGAACGTGAAAACCCCATTTGTCTGGGAAAGCCCCAGAAGTGCTCATGCCAAAAGAGAGAATGAGGGCAGGGGGAAGAGGCTCCGGTGGTGTCTGTGCTCTGCGTGGCTCCACCCGGGGTCCGGGAGGCCGACCTGGGGGTGGGGCTGGCCCACCCCGCTCACAGTGCTGTTCCCAGGGGCCGGGGGGCCGGGGGGCCGGGAACGAAGGCAACGGAAGAGGCTGCGCTGGCCCCCGCTCCACCCTACTGAGGCTGGGCCACAGGCTGGTTTTTGTAAAAAATGGTTTAAAAAGACCCCAGCCGTGAGCACCACCCCCCGAGCAGGGCCGGGGAGACGCCCACTCTGGGCCTTGAGGTCTGAGGCATGTGGCCTCCCCCGGTGACACCGCCCTGGGGGCAGCAGCACCCCGAGGGGGGCTGGGCGGGCTCCGGGGCCCTGCATGGGGCCCCGCGCCATCTGGGGCCCAGGGGAGCACCCACGCGGCTGCTTCCTCCTCCCACCCAGCCCACCTGGAGCTCTAGGCTTCGGGGACCCTGTGTAACTTCTGCTCTTTGGATTCCAAAGACTGAACTTGTCCTCCAGCGCGGGGGCAGCGGGCTGGAAGTGGACGACGGGCTTGATCTGAAAGACGGTGAAGCCCTCCTGGTTCTTCTGGTTGAAGAGACTTAGCCTGCGCTCCAGCTCGGGGCTGTTCGGGGCTGAGTCCGCTGGGCCGGGCCGGGACACGGGGACTAGGTCCAAGGCCCTCTGGGGCGGGCAGGGGCCCTCTGACGGGGAGGACAGCAGGTCCTGCGCTGTGGCCTCTGCCGTCCGCCGCGGGGGCGGCCGGGGCCAGGGGCCGGGCTCCGAGGACAGCTTCTCCTCCTCCTCCTCCTCCTCCTCCTCCCGGCGGTGCTGCAGTCTGTGCAGGAGCCCAGCGTCCGGCTGCTGTGGCTCTGGGCCTGCGGGACGGAGCTGTGCGTGGAGCGGGAGGCGCCGTTGGAGGTGGCGCTGGCGCAGGTGCCATTGCTGCTGAGCTGCAGGGCGCGTCGCCTGAGAAGAGGTCGGAGGAGATGTTGGGCTGGTGGACATCGATGGCAGCGGTGGTGACTACGCACGCGGTGGGCTCTGGGACACCGCTGTCTGCAAGAAAGGACGGGACGCTGGTCCACTCCCCATCCTCTGCTACTCCTCTGGGGACCCTGACGAGGGCGGCCGTGGCCGGCTGCTCCGCCCGCTCGGCGCTGCAGGACAGGGGGCTCCCCGAGGGCCGCATCCCGGGCGGGCCGGCCGTGGGCCTCGGCGGTCACGTGGGGTGACTTGCCATGGAGCAAAGCGTAGCTCACCCTGGCCCAGGAAGCATGAGGTGCCAGGACAGGGGTTCTGAGCCTCAGGGCCCGGCGGTCATTCAAGGCCTTGACTGGGGCCAACAGGGGGTGACATGATCAGCGCTGTGCCCCCCAGAAGATGGTCCCTGTAGGGGGCATGCGGGGCGAGGCCCAGGACTGCTGGGGAGGTCCAAGGGCTGTTACAGGGGGTGCAGAGGGGCAGGGGCTCCCCGAGAGCCCGAGGAGAGCGCACAGGGGGAGCTGCTCTCGGAAGTCCGCACATCGCATGAAGCTTTGAGAGAGGAACACAGACGACCGCTCAGGGCAAAGCCGGAGAGGAGCCTGCCGCCCACCGCGTGGCACGTCCTCCGGGTGACTCCGGCCTCACGGCGCAGCGCGTCCTGAATGCAAGGACTCGGGAGAGTCGGCTGCGGACCGCAAGCCTCCACACACTGGCTGAGACCTGGGGATTCTGTTAAAACCTACTATTTCCCATAAATGAAAAGTACCGGGTTCCCCGAGGCTCCTTCTGAGAGCAAGAATGCAGCAAGTGGAGCAAGGGCACAGCCCACGCCTGGTGTTCTCGAGCCCCAGCTGCTGCCTCGCCCCCCCTGTGGTCTTGCCGAGAGGTGCTCGGGCTGTGGGGCCCGGCCACGCAGGGGCGTAGAGCGCAGCCCCTTCCCTACGTGGCTCCGGCTGCTGCCCACGGACACTGCAGCGCAGGACGGTGCTGGCAGGGAGGCTGTGGTCATGCCGCCCAGGCCCTGGAGGAGGGGGGACGCCAGGCCCAGCCGCCCCTTTCGCCCCGATGGGACGCGTGGGCCGCCCCCAGACTCACCACTGCTGGGCCCATTGTAGTACTGGCTCCCGTAGCTGTTCACGCTGTCCCCGGCGCGGCACCTGCACAGCGGGATGGAGAAGGGGGTGTGGGCCACGGCCAGGTCGTGACCCCCCCTTTGGCAACCCCTCCCGTCACCGCGGAGGAGGCCTCTGCGGCTTCCCAGTCTTCAGTGGGATCTGCCCTGGGGCTGGGCCGCACCACGGTCCCGATGGAGCATCTGGCTGGACGTGGGACGTGGGCAGGAGCCTTTCCCTCTCTGTCCTATTTCCCCATCTCTGAGAGGAGGCCTATGGGAGTGGCTCACCCCTAAGGCTGTGGGGAGAGGGGCTCCCAATGGGCCTGCTTCCAGTAGGAATGTCCGGGTGAGGATGATGCATCCCGAGGGGGTGGGGGCAACCCCGACGCACAGAGGGAGGCATCAGGGCCAACGGGTGGCGTGGGGACCCTGGCAGGCTCCAGAGCATGCGATGGTGAGGACTCTTGCCTCCATTTGGGGATGCTTCCCGGCCCTCGGGTTCCGAAAGGGCCCCAGCCTCAGACCCGCCTTTGGACGCCAGCGCCACTGCATTAGAGCGAGGCGGCCGTCCGACGTCTGTCCCCTTCCTCATTAAGGGGGCCAGTGAGCTAGCGGAGGTCAGGAGGTCTCCAGGGCCCTCCGCACACGCAGGCCTGGTCCCGCGTCTCCTGCGGGCTCCTGGGGGCAGCGTGTGGCCCCGCGCGGCCTGTGCTTCCCGGCGCCCCGACATCCACAGCAGCCCGGGGCTGGGCGCACGCACGCCCAGCTGTACGAGCTGTCTTGGCTGCCTCGGATCTGTCCGTGCCTGCAGTGCCAGGTGTGTTTGCATTCCTGCCGGGTTGGGCAGGGGCCTCAGGCCTGCTCGGGGCCTGGTCCAGGACCGCTGTGCGTGCCTCGTCATATGCTGTGGCTGCTGTCCTGCCCTGCGGCCCGGCCCTGGGAGGCAGGTGGAGGCTGCAGTGGCCGCCCCGGCAAGCAGGGCGAGTGCCCCCCGCGGCCCGGCCTAGCCGGGAGGTTCTGGTCACTTCCCTCGTGTGATCCTTGGGCTTTGGCTGCAGGGGCCTCACGGCGCTGGCAGAGCTATGGGCCCAGCTGACATGTCCACAGACAATTCATCCTAAGGGAGCTGCTCACAGAAGGTGGCCTGGGGTGAATAAGAAAAACCCAGGCCCTAGAAAACTGCATGAAAGACCTGAGACCAGAAACCCCTAGGAGGGCGCACGGGCTGCAATCCCTGGCCTTGGTGGTAGTAACGTTTTTCTAGAAATGTCTCCTAAGGCAAGGGAAACAGACGAAGGCATAAACTACTGGGACTAGACCAAACTAAAACGCATCTGCGCAGCAAAGGAGAGCATCCACAAGGTGACAAGGCCGCCTACTGAATGGGGGGAGATCCTGGCAAATCATATTTGAGAAGGGGCCAATATCCAAAATGCTTTTAAAAACTCATACGACTCAACAGCAAAAAAAACTCAAACTGATTAAAACGTCAGCAGTGGACCAGCAAAGGCGTCTCTCCAAAGAGGACACCCAGATGGCCAAGACCTGCGAGAAGATGCTCAACATCCCTCAGCATCAGGGGAACAGACAGAAACCACAAGGAGACGTCAGCTCACAGCCGGCAGAATGGCTAAAACCAACAGCACGGGAAGCAGCAGGTGCTGGCGAGGACGGGGGGGAGGGGGGGGAGCCCCCGCGAGCTGCTGGTGGGAACGTCAACTGCCGCGGCCACTGGAAACCAGGCTCAAAAAATTAAAAAAAAACGAAAAAAAAAAAACAAAAAACGGGGGATCCCCGGGGGCTCAACGGTTTTAGCGCCTGCCTTTGGCCCAGGGCGTGATCCTAAGGTCCTGGGTTGAGTCCCGCATCGGGCTTCCTGCATGGAGCCTGCTTCTCCCTCTGCCTGTGTCTCTGCCTCTCTCTCTCTCTATCATAAATAAATAAATAAATAAATAAATAAATAAATAAATAAATCTTTAAAAAATTTGAAAAAAAAAAAAAAAGAGCTACCATACAATTCCATCACTGGGTATTTACCCAGAAAAAAATGAGAACACGAATTTGAAGATGGATGCACCCCTGAGTTGGCTGCCACACTATTTACAACAGGCACGAGGTGGAAGCAGCGTGAGGGCCACAGATGGGAGCGGGTAAGGATGTGCACACGCACACGCGTGCACACGCACACATTTAAGAAGCAAAAACAAAAAAGTGCAGGCCCCAGTTGCGCCCTGTGTCGGCTGCTGGAGGCAGTGTGCCCGAGCCCATGCAGGGCCAAGGCCAGGACTTCCCGCCTCCACGGAGGACCCCGCCCCCGCGCGCACTCAGGCCTCAAAGCCCAGAGGGAAGCCCTGATGCTTGGTTCGGGGCTCCCGTTCCCCAACCTGTTCCAATTTGCTGCTGGGCGACCTGGGGGCGCTCGCAGAATGGGGCGCTGCTGGGTGCCCGGCGTGAGAGTTGCGCCTGACACTGAAATCCCATCTTTCTCAGAGAAGACGTGCTTCGGCTATTAGTCTTATTTTGGAAAAACTGGGGCCCGGAGACAGGACCAGCAGCATAACTGTGGGGCCCCTTGTCCAAAAAGTATGAGGGTCCAGAAATAAAGCCACGCATACACGGCCAACGAATGACAAGGGAGCCAAGAACATAGAACTGGGGAAGGACAGTCCCTTCTATAGTGGTGAGTGGAAAACTGCGCAGCCACATGAGCCAAAGATTGGCACCGGACCCCCGTGTCGGCTTGCACACAAAATTAACTCAAAATGAACCAAAGACCTGAACGTGAGACACGAAACTATGAAACTCCTAGAAGGAAACCCAGGTGGTCAGCCCCGTGACATCAGTCCTGGCAGGGACTTGCTGGATTTGACACCAACGCAAAGGGAATAAAAGTCAACATAAACCATCGGGATTGTGTCAAACTCACAAACTCCTGCGGAGCAAAGGAGACCGTCCCGGAAACCCAAAGGCAACGCAGCGGATGGGAGGGCAGGTGCGGCTCCTCCCAGGGGAAGGGCCACCACGCAAATGCGTCAAGGACGCGAACCGCTCAACAGCACAAAAAACCGAACCGATTAAAAAATGGGCTGAGGATCTGAATAGACTGTTCCGAGGGTGACATCCACGTGGCCAAGGTACACCGAGGAGACGCTGCCCGTCACCCCCCCCCCCCCCGTCGGGGAAACGCTGACCAAAGCCACCTCCCGTGGTCAAAAGGATGAAATGAAAACACAAGAAGCCACAAGCGCCATTGACGACGTAGAGGAAACAGTCACTCGGCCGCGGCAGCCGCCACGGAAAACGGAGTCAAGCGTCCTCAGACGGTTAAGGATAGAATTTCCACCCAATTCCACTTTGGGGCATTTATCCCAAGTAAATGAAAACACTAACTTGGAAGGTGTCCCCCGCGTTCCTCCCAGCACTGCCCGGGGTGACTGCGTCCCACGGGGTGTCCCACGAGGTGTCCCGTGGGGTGTCCCATGGGGTGTCCCGCAGCGTGTCCCACAGTGACGGCCCGAGAGGGGCCGAATGTCCGCCCCACATGCACCTCGCACTGGCAGCCTGGGTGCGGGGGCATCACGCTAAGACCCGGGTGCCCACAGGTACAGGAGCACCCCAGTAGCGGCTAGGTGGGGGGGTTGTCGTAGAATAAACAGGCTATGGGGATGCGACGCGGCGCCAGGCGACTGCCCTTAGCAGTGACGTACAGCGCATTTCAACAGTCACTACGTGGGTAAATCTGAAGGGTTCTCCTCACCAGAAAAACCCTTAGTGAGTATGTCCGGCGACCGATGGTAACTGGGCGATCGCCCTGCAGGACGTGCAGTTATTGTATCGTGCACCCGAGGGGGACAGGCGGCATGTCCATCACACATCACTTAGGAATTTGGGGACAGGGCCACCTAGGGGGCTTAGCAGTGGAGCATCTGCCTTGGGCTTAGGGCATGACCCCGGGGTCCTGGGATCGAGTCCCACATCGGGCTTCCTGTGTGTGGAACCTGCTTCTCCCTCCGCCTGTGTGTCTGCCTCTCTCTGTGTGTTTCATGGATAAATGCAATCTTAAAAAAAAAATTCCAAGAGGGCAACAGTGGAGCCGAGAGCCATGTGACCACAGGTCACCCAGCCACAGAGGCGGTCCTGCTCGGTGGGATAAGGCCAGCCCATCAGGATCGCCCGGGCCCTGTGCCCCGACTGCCACCATCCTGGCCCCTGCAGGCCACGGCGGGGCCGTTTTGTGGGACGCTCTCCGGGGCCCGAGATTGTGTGGCGGGAGCATGGCCCATGGCCTGGACGCCACCTCCCGGGAGCTGCGGGGCGAGCGGGGTGCCTGGTGCCCGGTGGCCGCGCTGCAGCTGAGCCGCACAGGCAACACGTTTGGGGGGTGTTCAGGCGACACGGGGCACCAGGAACTGGCCGCCCAGGCTTTAGGGGTGATGGCGGCCCGGCCGGGTACCCAGAAGCCTGCCTGCGGGCAGCCGTGGAGCCGCAGCGACCCCTGGGCAGCCTGTCCCCCCCCAGCCCTGTCCTCCCCCCCAGGCACTGGGTCAGCAGCCGACACCTCCGCCCCCCGTGCTGGCCCAGGACACTGGCTTGGCCATACCTGGTGTCTAAGGGCAGGACGGGCACCGTGCAGTCGCTCCCCAGCTCCCGCCCTCTGCCCGGCCACTGGCTCCGCTGTCCCCGCACCAGAGGCTGGCGTGGCGTCCGGAGAGGCCGGAGGCAGAGGATGTCACTGGGGGGATGGGGGACAGGACTGGACGGCCCGGGAGGCCCGAGCACCTCAGGCAGACGCCCATCGCTGCAGGAGGGCCAGCACCCCCCCCTGCCCACCGCAGCCGGGCAGCTGGTCACATACACCCTGCCCTGCGTGGCCCTCCTTGCCCTCGGGGTTCCTCCCGCAGGCGCAGCGGGCGGAGGGAGCCAGGGAGGCAGGGACTCGGAGAACGTTCGGGGCTGTCCCATGAGCTGTGTCTGCAGACTCTCCAGTCCCGTATTTCGACTCCCTGTGAGCTCAGCGGTGGCACCAGGGAAGGAAGGCGCCGCGTCAAGGCCCGCGGGGCCAGAGGTCAGGACGCTTCCGAGGGGTGCAGGACCCCCCAGCATGCTGAGCCTGCGAGCCTCACTTTGCTCGTGAGCAGCTATGGGCCCGCGGGGAGCCTGCCGAGCACCAGGTGCGGGACCTGCAGACTGGCGGGTCTTGGTGGGTCAGCGGGGACACAGCCAGGACGGGCCCCGTCCCCCCGGGATCCCCAGAGGGTCTCGAGGGGCGAGGGCGCGGGCCCTAGGCGGGAGGGCATCGGGCCGCCCGTGGGCAGCGAGTGGAGAAGCTCCAGGACGTCACCGCCGCACAGCCCGCAGCTGGAAGTTTCACTGGCCTCAGCGAGGGCGCAGGGCGTGGGGGCCATGGCAGCGAGGTCACGGGCCTATGCGGCACCTGCACGAGGCTCATCCCTCAAATGGATCCGTCGCCCTGACCCCAGGCCCTCAGGACGGAGTCCATCCGGAAAGAGGCTGTAGCCGAAGTCGCGGGGTAGGCGGAGGTCCCGGTGGAGCAGGGTGGCCCCGGGCTCAGCGTGAGAGGGGTCTTCATGGAAACCAAAGGAAACGGGAACACGGACACGCACGGAGAATGCCCGCGAAGGGGAAGCCAGGCCAATGTCACCAGACACCTCCACAGTGAGTACAGAGGCCCCGGCCCTTGGGAGGCCGACCCTGCCGGGACCTGGACCTCCGGCCTCCGGAGCCTGGAGCTGGAAGGTCAACTTAAGAAGCCCCCCTCCCCCCAGGTCGGGGCAGCCTCCAGCCCAGGTGCGAGGCCAGGCACGTAGAGGTGCAGCCGCTGCCAAGGGGTGGGTGGTGTGGCCTTGGGGATGTGTGGGGCTGGGCCGGCCATGGGTTCGGGCTGGCCAGACACTCCTAAGGGCTCGGAACAGCAAGGACAGCAAGGCAGGGGTGGCCTCTGGCGCCCGCGACGGCCCTGCGGCTGCCCCCAAACTGCGTTTTGTCCCAGCTGCTGCTGCAAGAGGAACCCAACGCTGGAATTCAGGGAGGAATAATGTAGCAGGAGCCTGGGCACCGCTGGCTGGGGATGGGCGGGAACGCAGGGACATTCCCGGGAGGAGGGAACCCCTCGAAGCCGCCCCGGAGGCCCCGGCCCTAAGGTGATACTGCAGCCAAGGTGGAGGGAGGGGGGCAGGAGAATTTCCTTTTCAAGAGATTTCACTTATTTGAGGAACAGAGTGCGAGCGGGTGGGTGCACGGGTGTGGGGGGAGGGGGCAGGGACCCCCCAGGGGGGTCCTCCATCCCAGGGCTCCCCCAATACAGGTGGCAGGGCTGGGTGGCTCCCCATCCAGGCCGCGTGGGGCCAGCGCAGTCACGGTCGCCCCTCCCAGCCCCAAACTGTCGTCTGGGATCTGAAAGTCTCTCAAAACAGGACAGTGGTCGCCCGCTCCATGATACCCTCCGGGGCTCTCGCACACCCATGGGCTCCTCCCGCCTCCTGCCTCCTGCCGGGCACCTGCAGGGCACCTGGCTCCGCGGGTGAAGGGGGCCCTGGGCCCCACCGCGCTGGCTCCAGGCCCGGCTCCAGGCCCCGCGCCGCCGGCCTCAGCGTGTGACCCTGTGTGACCCTGTGAAGGTCCCCTGACCCGGGTCGAGCTCCGGCTCCACGAGGAGGAGGGGCCAGGGGCGACCTGCTCGCTCCCGCTCCCGGGGCTCGGCCTTAGTCCCCCCTGGAGCCGAGCACCTGGACTCGCAGGGACCGGGCGCCGGGGCCACTGGGACCTCCGGGTGAGGGAGGTGACCCCTTGCCCCGCATCTCGGGATGGCGCACTCGGGGCGGGAGGACACGGAAGGCAACGGCACAGGAGCGGTGCCGGGCGGGGTCCCTGGGCCCAGCGAGGGTGCAGGTCCGCCTCCCGCTGCCCCCTGCGGGCCTGACCCCAGGGAACCTGCCTCCCCAAGCCCGCACGGCCCCGCCTGGCCCCGGGTCGGTGGGGGGGCGCCTCCCCCATCGGAACCGCAGCCCGAGGGCGCCCGAGGCACCTGCGCCCAGCGCCCCCCGCCCCCCCCCCGCGCCCCTGCGCTCCCTCCCCGCCTCGCCCCGCCCCTGCGCCCCCTCCCCGCCCCGCCCCTGAGCTCCTGCTCCGCCCCTGCACTCCCTCCTCGCCCCGCCCCTGAGCTCCTGCCCCGCCCCTGCGCTCCCTCCCCTGCTGGCCCTGAGCGGGAACCCGAGCCCGCTCACCTGGCGACGGGGGCAGCTCCTCCTCGACGCCGCTGGCCTCCTCCGCCCACCTGCCGGCCTCCAGCACCTCGTAGCGGCCCCGTGGGCGGCTGAGCACGTGGGGGTCCGCAGCGCCGCCTCCCGCTCGGCCGCCAGGTCCAGGTCTTGCTGCGCCAGGTGCGCGCGCAGCTGTCGGATCTCGAACTGCGGGGGGAGGAGGGGAGGGTGGTGGGTGCGGGCGACGCCCCGGGACCTGCAGCCGTGCCCGAGGCACCGCTGGTGCCCGCGTGCCCCGCCCTGGGGGAGGGGAGGGGAGAGGCGGGGGAGGCGGGGAGGGGGCACGGGGGGGAGGGGCACGACGGCCCCCCACCCCCTCGGGCCAATCTGCCCCGAGTGCAGCCGCACGTCCAGCTACTGCCCCGACCCCCCCCTGCACCCCTGCACCCCTGCCTCCCGCAGCTGCACCCGCCGCAGCCTCGCACCCGAGGGCTTCTCACGCACCTGCGGGGCCGGGCCGCAGGGGAAGCCCAGTCCACAGGTGCAGGGCCACACAGCAGGTGCACGGCCTGGCCCCGCCTGGCTCACACCTGCGCCCCACGGACGCGCCCCCCGGACTCAGCCGCACCTGCCCGTTTGAATTCTCTGCACCGTCCTTACCACCTTGATGTCTTAAAATCCTTTTTTAATGTTTTATTACTTTTCTTTTGGCGTCGGTGAAACGCACAGTTAAAAGCTTCAGTGACGTCAGGACCGACCCTGGGGCACCTCCCAGGGTCAGAGTCACAGATTTTTCTCTGGGACCACTCGGTTTCCCGAGAGCTCACAGCTGGGGGCAGGGCCGGGGTGGGCAGAGGGTCCCACCACTGCTGGGGAGGATTTTCACGGAGTCCTTGGTTCCAGCCTGCACCTCTCCCCAGGCCCCGGCCCCCCAAGGCCCACCTGCCACACCCTCTGGATCAGTTCCCAGAGGACAAACCTCTGATTCTTGTAGGGTGTGTGTGTGTGGGGGGTCTCTTGGGGCCTAGGCGCCCACATACTGGGTGTGCAACCCCTCCCCTGGCTCAGCTTCTCATTTGCCCCTTTCCTCCCCAGCTCTCGGGGGCCTGGGGGGACAATCAGCCCACTTCCCGCGCCATCCTCTACAGGCACTTCAGTTCTAGATTCTTCACTCGGGGGGATGGGTTACCCCTTTCTTGTCCACTGTCCAATTCCTCAAATCCACTGAAATCTCCATCCTCTTTGTCCTTATGGACAGGCCCTACCTAAAGAGACACTTTCTTAATCCTTATGTGTTTGTGGCTTTTTAATTATCATTTTAGTGGACTTTGGTAAAGGAGATCGGATAAATATGTGTGGTCACTTCATTTTCTTTAAGGTCTGCCTATTGGTTTTGCTTCTCTCACCACAGAGAGTTTTTGCTGGTTAAGAAAAAAAAAAGGGGGGGGGGGATCCCTGGGTGGCGCAGCGGTTTGGCGCCTGCCTTTGGCTCAGGGCGCGATCCTGGAGACCCGGGATCGAGTCCCATATCGGGCTCCCGGTGCATGGAGCCTGCTTCTCCCTCTGCCTGTGTCTCTGTCTCTCTCTCTCTCTCTCTCTCTCTCTCTCTCTGTGTGTGAATATCATAAATAAATAAATAAATTAAAAAAAAAAAAAGGGTCCGATGTGTAGTTCACGCCAACGTCTGTGGTCTAAGTACTCCAGCGTGGCCAATCTCAAACTACCCGCACGACGTCACAGAGAATTGGGAAGGAGTGTGCCCACCTGGCTGCCCCGCACACACTGCGGCCCTTCACCTCGTAACGGAATATCGTCTCCGTGGAGCAGGGAGCCGGTCTGTGTGGTTGCCGGGCACAGTGAAGGAGCCCAGTATGTCGTTGATAAATGAATGAATGAAGCCAATCAGCTTTGCTCAATTCTGTGGTTTCAGACTGAGCCCGAGCCCTAGCCCGAGGCTGAGACAAAGTCTGAGCCTTGATGCTGAGCCCTGACCCTGCTCATGCACTACGCTCTGACCACGGTCATGGGCTGAGCCCCACCATAGTTACACGGTGAGCCCTACACCCGCTCGCACGCCAAGTCCCGAGCCCGATCACACACTGGGCCCTAACTCTGCTCTGGGTGTAGGCGCCGGCTCTGGACCTCAATAAGCCAGAGGCTGAGGAGTGAGGCTGGTGTTACGGGGTGGCCTTCTGTGCAGGGGGAGCGGGCTCAAGCCTCCCTTCTGGCAGCAAGTCCTCGGAGTCACGCAGGGCCCCTGAGGCAACCCTCCTGCAGCCCGTGGGGCTGGAGCGCCTCCTGTGCAGGCTGTGGGGCACCTCCCACGGGCATCTTAGCCCACCTTCTGCAAGGCTGCTCCCCAGGCCCGTAGGGCAGCAAACGGCCTCCTGGGCCACTCTGGATGGTGCATTACTGATAACTTGTCATCGATACAGAGCTGCCCACGAGCGTCCCGCTGAAATTCAGGCCAGGCAGCCGGAGGCCCGGGCTTGCCCAGCCCCAAGGCCACATGTGCAGAGATCGGCACAAACATTAAAACAAGTCTTAGGCTCGAGACACGAACCCCCAGAGTATGGGAGTTGTCCCGGGCAAGCCTGCGTTCATTCACTCACTCAGGCGAAAACTCTGGTATGTGCTTTGGAATGAAAATGCCTCTCCCGGCTTGGACGTGAGTACTCGGTGGCTCCAAGCGGGCGGAGGGGAGGAGGTGTCTGGGGCGCAGCCGAGGACCTCCCAGGACAGCCTCAAAGGCGGACACGGGGTGGACCTCATGGCAGGCGTGGCCTGGTGTGTCCAAGAGACAGAGGGCCCAGGGGAGACGGGCTGGGCGTCCGGGAGGCCGCGGCAGGCGGAGCCCATCAGCCACAGCTAGATGTTGCAAGGACGTCAGCCTTCACTGAACAGTGACCAGAAACCACTTCCATCCTCTGAGCAGAAGACGGGGCACAGGAGCGGATAGGGTCATTGAGCCTGAGGACGGATCTTCAGAAAAATATCAAAACTTATGCCCCCTCACCCCCCCCCAAAAAAACAGGAGAGCAACTGAAGAGAAGCGGGTCTACGAGATATGAGACACGACCCAGGGGCCTGGCATGTGCAAGCGGGACTCCAGGAGGATGGAAGGATGAAACAGAAGCAGTCAATGAAGAAATCGTGGCCAAGGACTTTCCGGGTCCGATGAAAACCAGCAATACACAGGCTCAAGACGCCTGGCAGGTCACCAGAACAGGGCCGATCCCCGGAGGCCCTCAGCCCTATTGCGTGCGGGCTTTTAGCGCTGGCTGCGGGGGGGGGGGGGGGGGGCTGACCCCTGGAGCACACCTGGGAGGCCTGGGCCTTGACCGGCGCGCGCTCTGGCCGCTCGCAACTGTCTCTAACGCACCGGCAGCGACTCCACCCGATCCGTGCTGCCCGTGGCTGGCCCTGGCCCGCTGTCGGGGTGGTGGCCGGTGTTTACTGCCGTCAGTTTCGCGTTGTTCGTGACAATAAAAATCAGGAGACGGTCGCAAAGTAATGATTTAGGAGCTGGGCAAGCTGAATCCGACCTTGGCCCCCTTCCATCCGTCGTGAGGATGATTGGTCGTCGGCCATAAATTTAAATTATGGCAAAAGGATCACATAAGTCATTCATCTGATGGCTAATTGTGTCAGCTGAATCGGCCTGTCACTAGAGCTCTCGGCAGCTTTTCAGATCGCGTCCCCAGCTGAGGACGCACGCTTCCCTCCCGAATAATCCAGGTGACAAAGGCCATTGTGCGGAGCTGCGGCCTTGGGGCCTCTGCGGGAAAAGCGGGGCCTCTCTGGGATGGGCAGCTTGGAGCAGCACCCCAGAACCAGGGTGGGCCCCGTTCCCCGCGGCTTGCAGGCTCCTGACAACCAGGGGAGGGGGCGGCCCAGCCTCAAAGGTGAGGATGCCCCAGGGGCCTGGGGCAGCGCCCACCCCCCACCCCCGACGGGGGCTAAGGCCCCACAGGCCCCCGGTGCGAGGCCCCCCACCCCGCACATGTCACGTCTGCCAGGTGCCTGTTGCTTGGTGCCAAGGCTGTCATCCTGTATCTCCCAGGAAAGGGCCGGGGAGAGTTGCCTCAGCCACTGGGACCACACGGGGGCGGGGGGAGCCCCCAGGTGAGAAAAGGGCAGAGAACGTGGGAGCCCGAGGGCTCATTCCAGCGGCCTGTGTCCTCCTCAGGTCCCTCTGGTGCCCTGAGTGTGACTGCATATCTGGGTCCCACCTGCAATACGGGGCCAGCAGCGCAGTCCCCCCACCCCCACCTCTGCTCCCACTGCTGATTGAGGGAGGCCTGAGGGGCCGTGGGCGCGGTGGGAGCGACAGGCCCCGGGGCCAGGCCGCTGCGGTTTCTGCATTTGTTTGATGTGGTGGCTTGTGTTACTCCCCACTACGGTGACCGCCCAGGCCCCCCATGTCTGGGCAGGCTAATGGCCAGTGGCCCCGCGTTCCAGCCCCGGAACCACAGGCTTTGTGTCCTGGGAAACAGGCCCGTCTCAGCCTTGTCTGTCCAGCTTTAAAGGGGTTAATGCCCAGCCCAGCGCTCGAGCTTCCAGGTCCCTCCAGTTCCCTCCAGGCCCTTCCAGGTCCCTCCAGGCCCTTCCAGGTTCCTCCACGTCCCTCCAGGTCCCTCCAGGCCCTTCCAGGTCCCTCCAGGTCCTTCCAGGTCCCTCCAGGTCCCTCCAGTTCCCTCCAGGTCCTTCCAGGTCCCTCCAGGTCCCTCCAGTTCCCTCCAGTTCCCTCCAGGTCCTTCCATGTTCCTCCAGTTCCCTCCAGGCCCTTCCAGGTCCCTCCAGGTCCCTCCAGGTTCCTTCAGGTCCCTCCAGGTCCCTCCAGGCCCTTCCAGGTCCCTCCAGGTCCTTCCAGGTCCCACCAGGCCCTCCAGGTCCTTCCATGTTCCTCCAGGTCCCTCCAGGCCCTTCCAGGTCCCTCCAGGTCCCTCCAGGCTCCTCCAGGTCCTTCCAGGTCCCTCCAGGCTCCTCCAGGTCCCTCCAGGTCCCTCCAGGCTCCTCCAGGTCCCTCCAGGTCCCTCCAGGTCCCTCCAGGTCCGGGAGCTGCAGGCAGCCTATTCGCTAGTGGGCCCTCGCGCAAATGACGTGCTCTTGCTTTTCTCTCCGTCTCCGTCTCCGTCTCCGTCTCCGCCTTCACTGAAAGACTCCGGAGGACCAGGCTTTCGGGTGTCGCTTGAGTTAGCGATCCCTACCGCAGCCTGCGACGTAAGCCCCGTTGCCTCCATTTTCCCAAGGAGCCCGAGGCCCAGGGCTTACGGGGGAGACTGGGCAGCGGGTGGGCATCTGGCTGGCCGTGTGCCTGCAGGCCGCGCCCCAGGGGCCGCCTTGGTCAGGGTCCTGAGGGGCTCGGGAGGTGCCCGGGGCCTCCGTGTGGGCAGGGCCTCTCGTCACCCGAGCCCCCGCGTGTTGCTGACGGTCTCGGGGTGAAGGGTACTGAGGGAACAGAAGGGAGCTTCCATCCACGGTCCCACCCGCGCTCCCATAGCGGAGGAAAGAGGTCGGTTTTGGGTGTGAGCCGGGCGGGACCCTAGTAACTTGGCCAGAGGCCAAGCTCACAGGGCAAGGGGCAGGTGCCGGGGGGACTGCGGGATGGGTCTCGTGCCAAGAGCAGGATCCTGATGCAGCCGCACATGAAGCCTCGGCAGCAGTTCCTTGGACCAGCGGAGGACGTCGTCGCACGGGCCTCCCCCGGCATCGGACGAGGCTGGGGCTTGTGAGGCCGAAGCGCGGAGACAAGGGACACACAGTGGCATGTCACCTCAGAGGCTGCCTGTGCAGCAGCGACGTCAACGCCCACCAAGCCCCCGGCCAGGATCCGGACCAAGAGCCACGTACGGGTGAGTGCAGGGCAGGGGGGACCCGCGAGCAGAGGCTCTGCTCTGGCCCCGCCGCGGGTGGGCTGCATGGAAGCAGGTGCCGGAGGCCGGGCAGGGGAGGGACAGGGGAGACTGCCCAACGCAGTGCCCCCTCCTCCGCGGGCCCCAGGTTTCCAGCAGGAATCGGTTAAGGGTGGGTGAGCCCCGCAGCCAGAAGAGGTGACAGGGAGGAGGGAAGCACCGCATCCCGTGGGCCTGCCCTGAGCCGCCCGGGGCAAGCCCCGAGATACCAGCGCTCCCGTCCTAGTGTCCCCGCCGCCGCCGTGTAATGGGAGCGCATCCACCCCTCCTCTGTGCCTCGCACTGCCTCCCTCTGCAGGTCTGGGTTGGGCCCAATGCCCTCGAAGGACCCCTCCCTTTACCACAGGGTGGTTCTGGGCCGCGGTAGGAACCGGGCCGCCACCTGGCGCCGAAGGGGCGACCTACAGGGTGGTCCCCGAAGAAGCCAGCAAACCACGTCGCCAGGGAGGGTCTGCAGGGCCGCGTGGACACGCAAGTCAGGCTCTCGGAGGAAGGGGGAACGGATAGAGCAGTAGCCTCTCCAGCAAGCGGTAGCCGACGGCGGCAGGGCCTCCGACCTCCGGCCTCCGACCTCGGGCTAGGCCGTGCTGACAGCAGGCGGCGGGATGTGAGCTGACCGTCGTCCCCGAGCCCCAGCCCCAGGCTGGGCGTGAGGAGAGCCTCAGAGGAGCCCCGGCCACGGGCAGCCTGTGAATTCCCGGCCGGTAGCCCAGGCCCAGCATCAGCCAATGCAGCGGAGGCCTGAGGAACGTCTACGGGCAGGAGGAGCCGAGGGACACATGATGGCCCTGCGCGTGGGCCCCAGACCCCGACGCGGCCTCAGGTCGGAACCCGTGCACGACCTGGGGGGTAGGGAGCTGGGGCGCTCAGGACTCGTGGTGCCGGCTGGCAGCGCGTGGTCGCCGAGCTCGGAGGAGGGACATGGGCGGGAGGATGACATGGACGCGACCCTCGGGGATGGCTGGGAACGTGCACGGCCCCCGCACCCTCAGCTGGGCAGCCACCGCTGCTCGCCTGCCTGACCTATGGGGTGAGGGGCGGGTGTGGGCAGGGGGGACACAGGCCGGGTCGGGGGACCAAGGGCCACACGGGTCCCGGCGCTGCCCCAAGTCGGCTGAACTATCTCTGGGCCTGGGCCCTCATGCCGAGCATCCCTGGCCCGTTGTGAGGCAGCACTGCTCCCCCGAGGCCCTGTGCCCCGGCCCCCCGATGGCTGAGAGGCATCCGCCCAGCTTGGGGGAGCAGCACCCCGGCTACCCCGCGCCCACCCCCACCCCCCACGTGGCCCCACGCTTCCAGCCCATCCCAGATGACAGCCCTCGGGCATTTTTTAGATTAGGGAGGCGCCTCTTGTCTCCTTTCCAGATGTCACACCTACAGATCAGCTCCTCCCTGCGCGGACCCCCAGGGTGTCTCCCCGGGGCTGGATCAGAGGCCCCCACGGCCTGGCTGGAGGCTGGGGGGTCACCCTGAGCGCTCCCGGCCCCGTGGCCCAAGTCACCGTGGGCCAGCTCCTTCTCCACGGGCTGGAGGCTTGTGAGACATGGCAGTGGTGGCCGTGCACCCGGTGGACGCAGCCGCCTGTCCAGGCTCCAGCGGGGCCGGTGCATGGCACATCCCCCCGGCATCCGTCTGCCCCGCCCCCCAGGCCTCTGTCCCCGGTGGCCCCGCTCCAGCCCGTCCTTGCACCTGCACCTGCGCCCGCACCCCTCCTCTGACGGCAGCCGGACTGGCCCCTCGGAAGCTCCAACCTGACTGTCCCAACAGCCCGGCCCGTGCCCCGGGTCAGCCGCCCCCCAGGCCCGCCTCCAGGTCCTCCTACGGCCTGAGCTCGCCCGGCGCCAGGCGCCCTAGCGCCTCACCTGCCCCCTCCGCCCTGCCGCCCCCTCCAGGTGGCCTGCCGCCCATCACTCCAGCCCCCGCGACCCTGCCAGGCGCACGTGCACCAGGCTGCACTGGGTGTTGGGGGCCCCCATCCTCGAGTCACTCGGGGCTCCATGGGGGTGGGGGCCTCCCCACAGTCGTGGCAGTGCTGGCGGCCGGATGCCTGGTGACGAGGGGCCGAGGCCTGTGGTCACCTCAGTCTACACCAAGGACCCATGGATGCTGTGCCGCTTGGGGCTGCTCCCCTGAGGTCTCCTGTCGCACATCTTGTGCGGAGACTAAGGCCGTGGTGTCCCCAGAGTAGACACCGGGTTGGCTCCCTGACAGTCCGAGGAGATGACCTTAAAGGCCGTGTGTGAGTTCCTGTGGGACGTCTCTAGGGATCGCGTGTGCTGACGTCGCACACGTGTCCCAGCCGCCCCAGCTCTTTCAGCCAAGGGACGTTGGGGCGGAGGAGCCAGGGCTGGGCTGCGGGTGAGGCCGCCAGGGAGCATCCTGCTCGGTGGGGGGAGCAGGCCGGGGGCGCCGTGCGGGCCCGGGGCTGCAGGATGGGATGGCTTGCGGCCTGTTGGGACGGCCTGCGACCCCATCCGACCCCATGATCCCTGGCAGGGACCCACGCCCGGGCCTCAGCTTCCCCGTGTGTCCCCAGGGACCCCACAGCTCCGGCCCCCAGCCCGGGACAGAACGGGAAGCGGCCGAGCGTTACCCCTTGCTCCTGACAGATCTGCGTCAGCCTCTCCAGCTGCTCGTCTTGGATGACCTTGGCCTTCTCGTACTGCTGGATGACCATCTCCATCTCCACCTTCACGGGCAGGACGTAAGCTGGAAGACACGGACGGCGCTGTCAGGAGCGGGCAGGCTGGGCTGGGAGCTGTTCCCAGGGGTGCAGGGGTGCAGGGATACAGGGGTGCAGGGGTGCAAGGGTGCGGGCAGGGCTGGGCCGGGAGCTGTTCCCGGGGGTGCAGGGGTGCGGGGGTGCAAGGGTGTGGGCAGGGCTGGGCCGGGAGCTGTTCCCGGGGGTGCGGGGTGCAGGGGTGTGGGCTGGGCACCCTGCACCCAAGGCTATGAGAGGGCTGGCCCCGAGCCGCGGTGGCAGGCGGCCCGCTGTCCTCGCCCCTTGCGGCGGCAGACTGGGTTCTGGCCCGGAGCCCGGGCGGTGCCTCCAAGGGGCCCGGGCCCTGTGGAAGGCGGCGGGCGCGCCCTGAGGTGGCGGAGCACAGAGCAGCCACCGGGCCGGCTAGTCCCTGCCTGGGCTCCCAAGAGCATCAGCAACACCCCCCACGCAGCAGCTCGCCCGTGGGTGTTCACGGCGGCCCAGAGTGGACGCGAACGAACGTCCAGCCTCCGACGGGCGGGTGAAGGGAACGTGGCCCCTGCGCTGCGGGGCCCAGCGCCACGAGAGAACAGAGTGAGGTCAGACACAAGCTGACCGGGGAGCCCAGCGGACACGGCTGCTCAGGGAAAGGCCGCAGACCCCACGGGACACGGGTGCGTGGTCCCCCGTGAGGGGCGCCCAGAGGAGGAGGCAGGAGGCGCCCGGCTGCGGGGGTGGTAAGCAGCACGGCTGAGCCCCTGCGGCCCCCACCCTGCAGGGCTCTCTGGCCGCACGGATCCCGCAGGGAGGACAGCACAGACTTGCTGTTTCCTCTGACCTTGAGGGCGGCCCATGTGGCCACGCACCTGCCTCGGGGTTCCCTGGTCTCTGCCAATGCCCTCACACCCGGGCCAGGGAAGCAAGGGGCCTCCCGCCTGCCCGCCCGCACGGCGGGCCCTCTCCCAAGGCTCCCAGCGGCCCTGCAGCACCCGTCAGGGACGTGGGAGCCGCTGCTCAGCCTTCCCGGGGCGCTGGAGGGCGTGATGTGAGGGGCGGGCAGAGGGAAGCAGGGCCTCGCCTCTGCAGGGGGCAGTTCTCATGGACGGGCCAGAGCAGGGCCTGGGCAGCTGGGCCGGGTGGATGGGTCAGGAGCCTGCTGGGTGCTCGCGGCCGCTCTGCTGCGTGACCCCATCGGTCCTGGCCTCAGTGTCCCCACCTGTCAAATGTCGGGAGGGGACTGGAGGGCTTCTCAGAGCCTTCCCAGCCTGGGCCTCCCGGGCTTGGGCCAGTCACACTGCAGCCTGATGAGGATTCCGGGTCAGCAGCTGCCCCCCCGACAAGGCCCCACAGCCCACGGGCCCGTGGGTGGGCGCAGGGGAGGGACGGGGGCCCGGCACCCCGCCAGGGTTGAGCGGGCGCGGGGCTGGCCTTCCGGCCTCATACCCCCACAGCCACAGCTCCGACATTCGTGACCAAGGTCCAGGGCCGGAGTGACCGTCGAGTCTATACCAGGCAGTCTGCTCTTCGCGGCCCAACCCCGGCGCCTGCACCTGCTCTGGGAGCCAGGAAGGTCCCCAGCCACACTGCTGGGAGGGGGACGGGCAGGGCTGCTAGCTGCAGCGGGTTCTGCACCACAAGGGCTTCGCTGCGTAAAACCAGGTCAGCAGTCGTCATCCGCACAACCTCAGTGGCGCCTTGTCCCTTCACGCGGCCACCGGCCTTGGCGGGCAGCACAGGCCCACGTCCCAGAGGCTCCCGCAGCGGCTGTGCTGCTCTGGCTGAGGGCGGCGGCAGGTCCGAGGACGCCCCTGGAGCCCAGACTCGGCCCCGGGCTTCCCTGTCCCCAGGCCCCCCATCCCTGTCCCCAGGCTCCTCCCTTCCCTGTCCCTGGTACCCCTTTCCCTGTCCCCAGACCTCCCACCCCGTCTTCCCCGTCGCCAGGCCCCTCTTCCCCATCCCGAGGACCCCTCTCTTCCCCGTCCCACAGGGACCAGGTGCCAGTCTTCTCTCACCCAGGCCCCTCCTCCGGGGGACACACCCTGGTCTGCCAGCACTTCCTGGAAGTAGAGGCAGCACCCAGGTCGGGGCAGGGCTCTCCAGGTGAGGCTCAGCGGGGAGGGCGGCCCTTGCGTCTGAGGGCGCGGACCCGGGGGTGGAGACCCTAAAGCCGACTGCAGCGCCCGCCAAGCCCCGATCCAAGCCAGCACCTCCCACAGAAACAGGCTCGGATGGCATCCCCGCTGCTGGACACAGGGGGAGGTGGGCCCGCAGGGGGTGGCGCCTCCACAAGCGAGCAACCGGGGCAGAGCAGGTGTCAGCCCGTGTGGGGGGTGGGGCGGGCAGTGGCAGGCATGCGTCCCAACGGGGTTCCCAGCATGGGCGGCCCTGCTTACGTTCTCGTGTGACGTGTGGGCCGTCCAGACACGAGTGTTTGCACGTGACACGTGGGCCTGGTCCCTGAGCTCCCGCACAGAGTGAGCAGGACACGCTTGGTCTGTCGTCCCGCAATCCCGGAGGCTGCCCCTGCCTCCTGTCCTGTATCACAACCGTCTGTCTCCTCTCTGGGCTGGCCAGTCCAGGGTCTGTAGCAGCCACCTGCTGCCTGCCACTTGCCACCTACCACCTGCCACCGGCTGCCTGCCGCCTGCCACCTGCTGCCTGGCACCTGCCACCTGTCACCTGCCACAAGCCACCTGCAGCCTGCCTCCTGCTACTTGCCACCTACCACCTGCCACTTGCCACCTACCACCTGCCGCCGGCTGCCTGCCGCCTGCCACCTGGCACCTGCCACCTGCTGCCTGGCACCTGCCACCTGCTGCCTGGCACGTGCCACCGGCCACCAGCCGCCTGCGGGGTCTGCTGAGCCCCGTGGACCACTCACCGTCGATGACCCTCTTCACCCGCCAGATCCGGAGCATGATAATGAGGCTGATGGCATCCCAGGGACTCCTGGGCCCATTGGCCACGGTGGACGCCACCATTGGGGCCAAGGACAGGATGATGACAGCCCCATCGAATACCTGTGAGAGGAAGTGGACTTGAGTGGCTTGGGCCGCCTCCCGGACGTCCCGGAAGCTTCAGGCAAAGCAGCCTCTCCAGGAGCTCTGTCCCCACAGCAGGCCTGGCCTCCCCGATCCCGGGCTGCCTCTTCGGAGCCCCTCGCCCCCAGCCCGCGGGCACCAGACCCTTCATGGGAGGCTGAGCGGCGCCTGGTGCCTTCCCGCCTGGCCCCTGACCATGAGGCCCTTTCGCGTGGACTAAGTTGATTTAAAGCATTTCCGAATGATTCAAGAATAACTTCGAATCGTGCAGAATTTCAAGCAGAATCTTGAGGTCCCTTTGCCAGGAACTTGGTCGGCCTGCGCCCCGCGCCCCAGCTCCCGCCCGCCTCCCCGGCACCTGCTGCCGGGCGCCTGCACGGTGGGGGGGAGGCCTTTCTGATGCCCCCCCCCCCAGGCATTTCCAGCTGCCCGGCCGGCCCCAGGCCCCCCGGCCTTTACCTCGATCTTGTTTTCGATGTAGTCCCAGATGCCCAGCACCACGATCCGCAGCACGGTCTGAGGAGAGAGGAGAGACGCACCGAGGTTACTGCTCTCCAGCGCCTGCCGTCCCCCAGCAGGGAAGATTCCGGAGCTCAGGACGCCGGTCTTCCCCGGCCCGCTTCCGGCCCGCGTGGCCTCCCGTGCGGCCTCGGCGCCTGGGCTGCGTGATGTCCGCGCCCCCAGCCCCCAGTCCCCGGCCGCCCCGCGGTCGTCCTCCCGCCACCCCAGCAGCGTGCGAGGGCCTTGCTGGGTGGCCTCTGCTCAGGTGTCACCTCCGGGAAGGTCCCCACGCCACCGGGGCTCAGGGCCTCCTTCTTTGGCGTTCCTGTGGGACCTGGACCATCCATCACTCCCCGCGGCCCTGCACCACGTCACGGCGACCACCCCCCAAACCCCACCGGGGCCCACGGGACACCCACCGCTCTCCGTCACCCCTAATCCCGACACACAGCAGACCGGGAACGGTGGTGTGGTGCGAGTGGGCGAGCGGACGGGTGCGTCACTGATTCCCTAAAACCCTCAGGGATCGACTGCGCGGCGGCTGCCCCCTCGACGGGTTTCCCTGCTGACCGTGCACCTTCCCCCAAAGACGGTGCCTGGAGGCTGCTCAGGGGACCAGGCGCCTTTGTCCGCGGGCCCTTCCCCAAACCCAGGTGACGGTTGGCAGGGGCTCACACCGGATGGTGTCCCTTCTCCCTCATGCGACACCCCCGGCCGCCGAAGCCCCAGAGCTGCGGAGGCTGCGCAGGTCGCTGGGCCCCTGAACCCCACCTGGGCCCCCGGCCCCCTCAAGCCTGCATCCGGTCAGCCGCGTGGGGGCCCCACACGGTCGCTGCCTTCTCGGCTGCTGCTCAATCCCGACGTCGAGGTGTGGAGTCCGTGTCGGAGGCGGGGCCGCGTCCACCGTCCACTCCGAAGGCCGGGCCGTGGCTCCCGGGGCAGAAGCGCGGGCCAGGAAGGAGGGACGGGTGTGGGAAGGGACGGGCGCCTCCTGCTGCTTCTCCCTCTTCCTCTTTTAAGATTGTGGTAATGATCCACAGAAACGCGAATTTTACCACTTTAGCCATTTTTCGAAGCGTCCTGGGGTGCAGGGTCCAGCCCCTGCCCTCCAAGCACCGCATCGCCTGGCTCCACAGGGTCCCCGTCTCGCTGGCTCGCCCCCTGCCGCCTGCCTTCCACCTCCTGGAACCTCCCGGGAAAGGAATCCTCTCACTTCACAAGCAGGACAGCTTGGGGGCAAGGACGGGCCGGCGGGGCAGGAGACGCAGCCAGCAGTGCCCACGCGGGGAGGGGGCCTCAGCGCCGGGAAGGGACGGACGCCTCTGGCCGCTCGGCCACCCCGAGCCTGGTGCCGGAGCGCGGGCCGCCTGCCCTGTCCTTGCCAGCCACCCTCGGGGAGCAGCCCCTGGGGCCCGCTGGGGTCGCTGTCCGCCCCCCCCCCCACTCAGCCTGGGCCTCCGAACGCGGCCCGTGGAAGCGGAGCAGCCTGGGAGCGCGTCCTGGTCCCGCCTCCCACCCGGCCGGGACATGGGGGGCCCCTCTGACCCCAGTGCTTGAGTCCGAGCTGCGGGGGGAAACCAGCTCCAGGACACCCCACCTGGTGGCGTCCTTCACCAAGCCCCCGGGTCCGCGGGGACAGGGTCCTGGCCACACTGCCCTGCCCCAGGCCCACAGAGCCAGGCGGCCGTGCTTCTCAACGTGCAGGCGAGGCCCCGGCTGGGACATCGAGGATCTGCTTGAAGCATGGACTCCTGGGCCCCGGGGGGCTCCGATGTCAGAACCTCGGGGCCCCGGCCGCCTGCACGACTTCCCTAGGGTGCCCGCTGGAGGCACGGGGACGTGTCCCGTGAGAATGTCCCCAGGGACTGCAGCGGGGCGGGGGGGAGGCCCGGGTAGTGGCTCGGCTCTGAGCCTTCCCTGGTGCTGTCCCTGCCGGGCACGTGCCGTCGGTGGGACCCCTGGGCCAGCGCCCCACACCGCCCGCCCGCCACGGGGAAGACGGGAGCAGGGCCCGGGCTGCCGTAGCCCCGCTCCCCCCTCCGCCCCTCGGCCTGCCCCGGGAGCTGCGAGGGCTTGCAAGGGGCCAAGGGAACTGAACTGCTGGCCCTGGGCGGCCTCTTCCCCCCGGGACTGCGGGTTTCAGCCCCTCAGGAGACGGGGTGCTCGGGTACCCGAGACGGCCGAGGCCTCAGCGGAACCTCACGGCAGTGGCACCGGGTGTTTACCGTAAGCCTGGCTCTCATGTCGTCTTGCAGGTGCGGAAACAGGCCCAGGGACACACGGGCGCACCCTCTGGTCCTCAGGCCGTGCGTCCTTCCCACCACAGGCACCCCCACCTTTTCCCCCAGGAAGCCCACCTCCTGGAAGGTCCCCTTCGCTTTCTCCCCAGAGAAGGGATTCAGGCTCTAGGAAGCCACGGCGGGGGGTGGGTGGGGGGTAGGGGGAGGCCCTTGCACCTGCTCCAGGTGTGAGTCACCTGGTGCCCCCCCCCAACCGGCTGAGTCCGAGCCCCACCTTCTCTCTGGGACGGGGTTGGATGAGCTCCTAGGGCTTGGGGACCTCGGGGGTCCCAGCAGAAACACCTGCTAAGCTATAAGATGACTCGATGCAAATTCTAGAAGGTTCCCCGTTTCCAGGCAGAGGAAGCCCCCCTGCTCCCTGCAGAGCCGACCGCAGACCCTCCAGGGGAAGGAGGGAGCAGCCACCGCCTGGGCCGGAGCATGTCTGCAGCGCTGCAGCTGTGGGGGCGCTGGGGGCTGGCCAAGCTGCGGGTGCCTTCCTAACCCCCCGCCAGGCCCCAGGCAGGGGGAGGATGTGGAGTCCAGGACCCGGAAACAGGGCAGAAATGTGAGGCGGCTTTAGGGGGCCGGAAGCCGCCGGGCTGGTGCCGGAGGGAGGCTCTGGGGCAAGAGGCGCATGTCGGGGACAGCGGAGCGCACGGCGGTGCCTCCCGGGTGATGCACCCACCAAACAGGAGGGGGGGGACTCCCTCTCCATCCCTAACCCTCGAAGTCCGGGCCGCGGCACTGCCCCCAGGGCCTCCGTGTGACCCTCATGACCACATGTGGCAGCCGGAGGCGCCCGGGGCCTCCCCACTGCCTTTGGAGCAAGGCCCCCGCTCCTGAGCAGGACGCGAGGCGCCCTCGAGACCTGGTCGTGCCTGGTCCCCAGGTTGTGTTGCCCACCCACGGCCGGCCCCGCGGGCTGCAAGTGCTCATCCCTGCACCTGGTCCTCCCCAGCGCCCCCGACGCCCCATCCACAGGCAGCCCCCCAACCCCAGGTCTTCCACGATGGCCTCACTTGAGCTCCAGCTCCCTTCCCGGTTCCCCGGCGCCGGGCCCGCCGAGCCCACCAGGTTCTTCACGGCCCAGAACCGCAGCCAGCGAGGCTGGAGCCCAGGGATTCCCGCGGTGCTGGGATGGGGCAGGGACGCGGGCCATGGGCTCAGGATGGAGCCTTCTGAACCCAGCGCGACCCCCAAGAAGCCCTGTGCTCTGGCTCTGTCCACTCCGTCCTCTTGGGTCTCGGGAAGGCATTTCCACGCGCGTCAGGCCCTCCCCTCGAGCGCTGGGGCAACCGCTGTTCACGTGATGGACTCAAGGGTGGCCGCGGGAGGATGTGCAGGGGCTCCCGCCTGGGGGGGGCAAGGCCCAGAGCCCCGACCCTTGGAGCAGGAGCCAGGCGGGACAGATGAGCCGCCCTGACCCCCTGGCCGGTGGGGAAACAACACGCCCAAGTCCTTGCCCAAGGACTCATGTTCAGACGGATCGAGGAACGACGCAGGTGCCGGAGCCGCGGCCTGCAGAAGCTTAAAAACGACGCTGATGCCCACGATCGCGTGGCCTGAGACTGCACTCGGGTGAGACGTCCCGGCCGGGCCGCCGCCCCCGAACGGGTGAGCAGTCGGTGGGGCGGGTGGGGAGCGTCCCGGGCACGAGGCGTGTCAAGGACAGGGCGGGGCCTGCACACCCGCCCGACCCCTGTGCCACCCGCCGTCCCCCGGGCGACCTGCCCGCGCCTCTCCAGGCCTCGATGCCTGACTCCTACGGTGTAGCACTCCCGTCCCGCGTGGTCCTAACGCCTGGTTGGGGTACCGGGTAGGACATGGCTCAGGAATGACCCCCACCTCGGCCTCCCGAGGAAACGGGGTGACGTCGCTTCCACACTGGCCAGGAGCTGTGTCCGTCACGCTGGGCCTGGGGTCACAGGCACTGTGGGGTGCACGTCCCCCCCCCCGGCTCTGGGCCCTGCCCCAGGTTCTCGGTGCCCCGCCTGCTGGCACCGGGCGCAGAGGCCGCACTGCTGGGGGGCCCGAGGTAGGCGCAGAGGCCAAGACCTGGTTCTGCCTTTGGACGGCCGGGCTGCTGTCCCCATGGCCTAGGAAGGCCGCTGCTGGCATCGTTGGGGCCAACACACACCCCGATGTGCTGCTTGGGGCCTCTGACTTCCCTGGGCCCTCCCACCGCAGGCGCCTGGGTCACTGGGAGAGCAGGCCCTCTGGAACGGGGAAGCAGCGGGTGGGTGCGGGGGTGGGGGCTCTGCTCCGGGGTTCCGGGCAGCAGGGGGCGGGGGTGAGGGGCAGGGGAGGCTCTGCTCCGGGGCTCCGGGGCAGCAGGGGGTGGGGGCAGTGGGGGGTGGGGGTGACAGGCATTGAGGGCTCTGCTCCAGGGCTCGGGGGCAGCAGGGGTCGGGGTGGCGGGGGGCTCTGCTCCGGGGCTTGGGGCTCCAAGGCACCTGGGCAGCGGGCTCCGTGAGCTGCTTGGGACGCCCCACAGCAGCGGCTCTGGGCCCAGGCCTGCCTGCGAACCCTGGGGGCTGCAGGACTTGAGGCCTGTGCCCCGACGTGGTGCCCCACACCCAGACTCAGGACGACGGCGATCCCTGGTGTTTGAAGGGTCCTGAGGGCCACCGCCGGCCACCACGGCCCGGGAGCAACCCTGGGGCTCTGGACTCCGGGTGCCCTGATGGTGCCTCCAAATACTCTGCACCCTCGCACTCCGAGCGCATTCTCGCCCAGCGTCCTTCTCGCACCCTAGGCAGTGCTGTGTCCTGGACCCAGCGTGAGCCGTGTGCACACTCGTGTGCAAGGCCCTCCGCCTCGCCCCCACGTCATCCCCCGAAGGTGCCCAGGCTCTGCGCGGCCGACCTGGGCTGCGGCCGTTGGGAGGGCACGTGGTGGGAGGACGGTGGCCGGGGCGTCCTGCTGGTCCTGCGCTCTGCTGGGGAGATCAGGGCCTCTGCACAGGGACTCGCCTCAGCCCGCGGCGTGAAGCGTGGCCCTCCAGGTGGCCCAGGCCCGGGGGCAGGCCCGGGAACCACTCGCCCACGTAGGCAGGGCAGCGCGCTGGGACCCGGCGTCCCCATGGTTCAGTCCTGTACTGGGCGCCCGGCTCGCAGGGAACCCGGGGGGGGGGGGCGCCCAGGAGTCACCAGGGGCTTCATCCCCTTACCTCCCACACGGAGACTGCGACCTGGCGTCCCTGGCTGGCCCAGGAGCAGCACTGGGGTCCCGAGCCCCGGCCCCCCCCGCCGAGCCCAGCCCCCTTCACTGCCTCTCCCTGTGTGCACCCTGGAGGGCCCGCGGGGACGCTGGCGATCGCCAAGGGCAGGCGTTGCCTCAAGGGGTCGCAGGGCCCAGGCTTTACCTACCTCTGAGAAGAACACAGAGAGAATGACCAGACTGATCCAGTGAATTATGCTGGCAAACTGGAATGCGCTGGAAACTGCAACGAACACAATAACGGGCCAACTTTAGGAGCGAGGAGTCAGGTGCCCCGGCAGAGGGCCTTCGCCGCGTGCAGCACACTGGGAGCCCGGGACTGCCCGGCCAACACCTAGATCTGGGCACCATCAGGCCAGAGAACATGAGGGCAGCTCGTAACGGTGTCCGTGGCAGAGGGAGGAGGCAGCGGCGGGATGGAAGGCCCTGTTGCTCCCTCCTCTGCGTAAGAGGCCGCCCCTTGTTATTCCCGCTCAGTCCCCCCAGCCTTGGTGGGCTACACCTACAGCCTCGCTCCGGAGAGGAGCCCACCACCGGGGTTCAGAAAGACGGGTGCGGCCTTCGGAGCCGGGTGGGCAGCTTAGTCAAGTCTGGATGCGCGTTCAGGACCCCTGCCCCAAGTTACATCCAAGGCTCCAGGCAGTTAGCGGGACTCCAGGCAAGCTTTTCAGTGTGAAAACTCTGAGTGTCGAGAGGGCCGTGTGGGCTGGGGTGCTTGGTAGGGGCGGGGGTGGGGGGTGAGGCTGGAGCAAGGCCTGGAGGAGGGAACCAGGCCTGGTAGAGGGCATGTCCCCTCCTGAACGGGGCAGTGCAAGCGGCTGGGGTTGCTCCAGTTGCCCTCCAGACGCCAGCATGCAGCGGGGAGAGCCGCCAGCCCCCAAGAGCCCGCACCCCACCTGCACCAGACCGTCCTTGGAGTGACGGCCCTACCTCTGAAAGACTCTTTTCAAATACGGGTGCTGCGACCAGCTTCCGAGCCCAAGCAGGGCTGGGTTTATCAGGCAGGGAGGCCACGAGTGGGGTGTTGGGGCCCGGGATAAGGGTCGGGTGGGCTCTGATGGGTGGCGGGGATGCTTCCTAGAAGGCAGACCTGGAGACACACAGCAGGGCAGCTGGGGGGGGTTGTGAAACAGGGTTCAGGAATGGTGATGGACCGCACATATGCTGCTTCTCTCTGGGGCCTGGGCGAGGCCCGCTTTCATGCAGCTCAGAATCCCCCGGGGGCTAAAGGGTTTCCCCTGAGGCATCAGTGGGGAGGGCTGGCCTGAAACAAAAGAGCTGAGATCAGGGAACCCTGGGGGTGGGCAGTGTCAGGCCCCGGAGCACGTCCATGGGGAAAGGCTGCAGGGCCAGGTTCCAGGTGGGGGACCTCAGGGTCAGTAGGGCCAGTGTGACCCCTAGAGGACGAGGCCTGGGGGTGCTGGGGTTCTTTCCATCCTAGGTCACATGAGGCCGAGTGGGAAGTGAGCGTCTGAGGCCTGTGTGACTCTGAAAAGACCTCCAGATGATGCTGAAAACATAAAATCTCTCCCCATTATTTCTCGAATTCCTCTGCCTTTTTTATGGTTTGCTTTAGAAGAGCAATAAATCTCTGATTGTGCGTTTTATGGAATTTAAGATGCCTTTTACGAGCCGCTATTGGATCTCCCAGCAAAATCAATCTCCTGGATACTTAATTTTAAGCAAAATTCCAGTGTCGGCCTGGTTCTCAGTTCTACTCAATGCCTCGTCACAACCTGAGCCGCCGAGGGCCCCAAGCATAACCTACGACGGGGAAAGAAAGACTCTGTGGTGGCCAAGACCTCATAAAAAGCAGACCTAAGGATGAGTGGAAGGGAAAGGATGCAGCATGGTTTAATTCAAGACAGGTTGAGTGTAAAGCCAGCGCTGGTCACTTTATGCCGGAAGATACTTTCATTGGAACCAACGGGCCACCAGCTGCACAAAATCCAACGAGGCCTATCAGACAAAAGCAATTCTGTGCTCCCTGTCATCCTCCCCTGGAGTCGGGAAGGCCGATGGGGCGTGGAAGGACCCTGGATGCAGAGGCTCCAGGACAGGGCTGGGGGCGCAAGTCTATGACAACTCCATGGGCTCAGGGCTGTTGGGTCTGTAGTCCTTGCTCTTGCCAGTAATTGAGTCTTGGGCACCAGTACTTTCGTCTCTTTTTTATTTGCACTTGAATAATCCACCTTCTGAATCGGAGAAATATGGGGATCCAGGAGCTCTACCAGAAAGGACTCACTCATCCGAAGCCCGGAGCGAAGACTCCTGGCTCTCCCCACCCGGGGCACTAAGTCGGGGCCTGCACAAGTGGGGGCAGGAAGTGCCCCACGCGGCCACGGGACATCCAGCAGGACAGGAGAGGAGCAGACGACCATCGGCTGCCGTGCACATCAGGCTGCCAGCAACACAAGCCTGGAACAAAGCCAAGAGACCTGTGGTGGGAGGAAAACTGGCTGGGCCGTCGAGTGGCCTGGTGACTTGAAGTCCTTTCCCCAGCGGAAGTCTCGAAGTTTCTCCAAATCCTAACTCCCTTGCCTATAAGACGAGATAAAATCCGTCACGTCCACCTTACAGGGTTGCCGCTAGGGCCAGACGTATGGAAGACACTTTCAAAATCATCACGTCCATAAGGGACCCGCCAGCTTCCAGCTGGGTATGAAATACAAGCAACCTTCTGGCCACTGTGGTTGCTGTGATTATCAGGGACCACAAGGTGATCGCCTCCACACCCGACAACTCTCTTTAACCTACAGAAAAGGCCAACCTGGAAAATTCCAAATGGGAACAATTAAAAAAAAAAGTGCACACAGGGGTCCCCAACATTTTTGATTTCATCAGTTTGTGATCGTGAAGTGCTGGGGAGGAGGACCGCGGAGGCCACAGGGATGGACGGGGCAACTGGATGGGGCAACGGACAGTGGGCGTGACGGAGAGAGGAGCAGCCAGGGCTCCTCCCTGGGTGGGCATCCCCAGGAGCCGTGGGCCGTGCACCACAGTGGCCCCGGGCTGGGGGCAGAGGGCACTGCTGGTTGGGGACCCCTGGTGGATGCACATGGAATATTGACATCATAGGTATTTGCACACGTATCTCTCTTGCTACTCACACTGGAGAAGCTTTATATCTATTAGAAGTTCCAGAGTCAGGAGAATCACCACCAATATTACACAGGCTACCAGGAAACTGTTGAGACTCGCACTGAGCAAAAATACCTGCCACACGGCTGCTCTCTTCCCACAGCACGGCTTCAGCCAGGTGGACCTGTGGGGACAAAAGCAGGAAGGGGGCGGGGAGGGGGTCAGATCCCCTCACAGCCCTGGCTGCTGCTCCACCCTCCCTACTCCTCCCGGGCTCTACGGTTCCCAGCAAAGTGCAACCCCCTCCACTGGGTAGGATCGCAGAGAGCAAACCCAGCTCACAGGAGATGGAGCCCCATACAGTCCCCAGACGGGGTCACAGAGGTCGGCAGGGGCCAGGCGAGCTGTCGTTGCTGCATGTCCCTGTGGTCTCGGAGCCTAGCACGGGCTCTGCATTTAGGAGGCTCTCAGCTCACCTCCGGTAAAAGCTCAGTAGTTGATGAGTGGGTTTCCAGTGCTTTTCAGCTACAGAGGAAGAATGAGCTAAATCCCTATTTCTCAAGTGGGTTGCACGGAATCCTACTTCCACCAAATGTCAAGGGTTGCCACCCGATACCCTCGATGGTTGGATAGGCTTTGGAAAATTGGGGTCGAAGTCAAACAGAGATTTTTCTGGGCAGACACGTTGGTGCCTCTACTAGGTTATTAGGCACCATCCAGCCCCAAGGGGTCCCAGGGGCAGTGCCTTCCACTCTCGCTCCACCCAGCAACCTCCTGTCATTGAGCTTCTGGTGGGACTCGTGCTTCGTAGACAATCTTTTGGGAAGCCCCGACAGGAGAGATGAAGCCACCAAGGATGGGGTCTTCCCTGAGCAGGATGGGGAGTGCGGAGGGTGTGCGGAGCCTCAGGGCCGTGGGGGGGGGGGATGGTGTCCCCGAGGGCATTTGGCGTATTCCCTTCAGGAACACAGGATCCCGGGGAAGAGGGGCACCTCGCGGGGGTGCTGAGGCCAAAGCTCACTGCCTTGCCGAGGAAGGAGCGGGATCCCGAAGGGGCAGACGGCACCAGGCAGTGAGCCCCCGCTCTGGCTCTGCCTTCGGACACCCAGGACTGCGGGATGGCATCTCTGCATTCTGGGACTCAGTCTCCCGTTTGTCAAACCCCTTAACTCCCAGGGTCACAGACGCTAAATGAGGGAATGTCTCTGACTAGAAGCCCCGTGTGGCTGCAAAGGGTTGAGGAAGGTGTTGATGTTGGTGGGTTACCCGGTGGCCCAGCCCTGGGCTGTCGCCCTCCTCTCCATCAGGGGAGTGTGCTGAGGGCGCCGGGGCCCACGCCTCCTGAGGTCCTGAGGGTGACCCCCCCCCCCGGTGTCGCTGGAAGAGGGAATCCTGAGGTGCTCCCCTCCCCGCAGAGGAACACCGAGTGCTCCGGGGGGCTTCTTCCTCAGAATCCATCTAGGGAAGCTGGAAGGGTCCCCAGCTGACGGGACGTGGTACGAGCTCGTAGCTCTCCAAGAAACCTGGCGGCAAACAGATTAGTCAAGTCTTTCTGGATAGTTTCCAAAACCTGCGGGAAAGGGAGGTGCCACCCTTGGCCTCCCGGGAAGGCAAAGGCTGGGAGCTCCGTGTCCGGCCTCGGGGAGCTGGGCCACAAGGATGCTGGGGGGGACTTCAGCAGGTGACGGAGGAGAAGCAAAAACCAAACCAGTATTCATTGTTTATCTGAAATTCAACTTAAACTGGGAATCCTGTATTCGGAGCAGGGGGTGCAGAGGGGCCCGGTGAGGGGCTGGGGCCTGGTCGGAGGGGCGCGTGAGATCCGGAGTTACAGGTGAGAAGCCAGAGCCGGTGAAGCCGAGGCGGGAAGGGCCCTGCAGGCAGGGCTGGCGTGTCTGTCGGGGCGGCAGAGGGGGACCCGGGGGCTGACGTACCCCCCCCCCGGCTCAGGACCCAGCAGATGGGGAGACCCGGGGGCTGACGTCTCAGGGCTGTGTGGCTTCTGCATACGAAGACCCTCTGGTTTATAAGATCTCTTGGGCCTCTCTTCCTCAGCTGACTGCTCCTGCCTGCGCAGCGCACTTGCGGCCCTTCTTCCCACGCGTGACCCTCCTGCACCTACCTGCCCCGTCTCCGTCCTCCACTCCGGCTGCCTCTGCCCCCCGCGTCACCCTCTCCCGCCATCTCTCTCGCTCTCAAATCAATAAATAAAATCTTTTTTCTTTTCTTTTCTTTTTTTTTTTTAAAGAAAACCCAGTCCTTTATCTGTGGCCCTAAAAGTGATGCCACTTCCCTGCCGCCTGCCACCTGGGGCCGGGCTGTGCGCCGGGGTTCGGGGCGCCTGAGTCCGTGCCCACCACCCCGGGAGCGTGGGAAGCCGGGGGGACCAAGCCGTCTGCTCCTCTCCAAGCAGGAGGCTCCACGGCGGGTGGATCCGCCTCCGTGGGAGGGAAGGGCCCGGGAGCTGCCGCCTCAGCCGCCCACAGCCCCCCTTGTCTCCTCGGCTTAGGGAAGCTGCCCGGGGCCAGGGGCTGCCACCTGGGGAGCGGGAGGTGCGGGGGGGGGGGGGGGGGCCGAGGCCAGGCCCAGGGTCTGCCCAGGGCACAGGCGCGGGATCCGGAAGCCAGGCCGCCGGACGCCACCTGCCCCCGGGGAGGGCCCACGACAGACGGGAGCGCGGCGGGTCACAGGCTGCGGGAGGCGCCAGGGCTGCGGGGACGGTCAGGGTGGGTGGCCTGTGGGTGACGTGAGGAGCCGGGGGGACCGGCCTGTGTGGCGGCGGCCGCTCAAGGCAGGAGTCTGTTCGGGCACAAAGGGCTAAAAGCTTGACAGAAGAGCTTCTAGAAAATGACGATGGGCTTCGGCCAGCGTCCGTCCGTGTTTCAGGGGCGGGGGCGGGGAGGCCCGCGGCAGCCCTCCGGGCTTCGGGCCCCCGTGCAGGCCACAGCCGGGGCCAGCGCGCGGGGCGGAGGAGGCCACTGCTCCCGGGCAGGCGGGGGTCCCGGGGCCTGGGGCGTCCTGGCTGCCAGGCCGGCGCGGCTGGGACACGCACGGCCGGGGAAGGGGCAGTGGCCGGTCTGCGGAAGGTGGAGACCTCAGAGCTGCCCTGAAAGGTGCCCCCGGCGGAGGGGAGCCCGGCGTCCTGGAGGCTGGACTCCAGAGCAGCCCCCGACGGCCTGTGGGGCCGGCACCGCGGGGGCGGAGTGAATGGGAAGCTTGCCTCCAGCGGGGCTGGAACTAAGGCGCGAGCCCTGGGATTCCCTACCTGCCCCCAGTGCTGCCCTTGGGGGCACCAGAGCCTGAGGCCTGCTGGCTGGGTGGCCTGTGCACAAAGCCAGACCACCACGCACAACACTCTGAGGGTGCACGGCCTTGGGAACGGCGCGGAGGGGTCACCGAACGCCTGGGCTCCAGGTGCAAACTCCAGGAGGCGGCAGCCTGAGGCCTTGTGGCCCCAGGTGCTCCAATTCCGTGATGCTCAACACCGTGGCCTGGATCCTGCACATTTGGGGGAGGGGGTGTCAACAGCCAGCAGAACAGCCCATGGCCTCGCTTTGCTTTTCTTTACTGTGTTTGTCCCAGATGGTTAAAACGCCGTGAGCGAAAGCCACGAGGCTGACTTCAATCCAACTCTGACATCGATCTAGGCTTTATTTTCATTGATTTAACAAACACTTATACGGCACTTATGATCAAACAGAGGAGTTTCCTGAGCACTTTACAAATGTTCACTCATCTAGTCGTTTTAAAAGGCAGTTCCTTCTTTCTTTTTTTTAATAATAAATTTATTTTTTATTGGTGTTCAATTTGGCAACATACAGAATAACACCCAGTGCTCATCCTGTCCAGTAAGGCAGTTCCTTCTATTATTTATTTTTTTTCCCTCTGTTTCCTCTGTTTACGAAGGCTGGGGAAAGCCAGACTTTTCCATCTGGTTGGGCTCGGGCGGCAACTAGAGTCTGCAAATCACACTTCCACGGCTGACTGAGCTCTGAGTATAATCTTTGAGCCTAATTTCCTAATCTCCAAAATAGGGGTATTATCCACCTCTGCAGGGTCGTCGTTCCGAAATATGGAAAGTAACACAGGTAACACAGTGTGTACTGCAGGCCCCCCGTACCGTCTACACGAAGATGAGTTAGGTATGTGGGTGCTAGAAAACGGAGTAATGATCTAAATACGAGAAGTCTCAACGTTCGTTCCATTCCAGCCACAGTTATTCTGCGGCTGCTAAATGCCAGGCACTGTATTAGGTGATGAGCACACAGAGTGCCCAGGGCCTCCATCCTCACGGAGCCTGAGCTCTTGTAAATGAATTCTGAGCCAGCAGTGAGCTCCTAGTCCAGGCCACTCTGAAAGCAAAACAAATCAGAAAAAAAAAAAAAAAAAAAAAAAAGCAGGAATGGGAAATGAGCTCACATGCACGGGAGTTCTCCAAAGAGGCAAATATCTCCTCATGGGAACCACGGGCCGTCCTTTTGCTAAATACGTGAAAGGGTTGGCGGGGCTTCTTCCTTCCGCCGGGGAGAACCAGAGGCACAGGGAAAGTGCGGTGGGGTGGCCTCCTGGTCCCTGCACTGAGCCCAGGAGGCAGGCCAGGCAGTGCAGACCCAGAAATACCAGCACAGCAATCCACTTTGCAAAGCGGGAACCCTCAGCTCGGAGGGGAGGGACGACCCTGGCGGCCACCCGGCCACTTGGGGGATCCAAAGAAGCTGGTTTCCACACTGGCAGCTTTGGGGCTGCAGTCAGAGCCACAGGTCGGCCCTACTGCCCGAGGGGGGGGGAGCATCAGCGAGCCTCCCACCCGCTTGTCCCAGCACCTCCGGCCTCTTGCATCCTGGGGAATGTCAATTGTGGGGAACACGCGGGGTGTGCGGGCGGACCACCAGGCGAGTCCCCTTCCCCGGGGGGCACAAGGGCAGACACAGCGTGGACGGGCCGCTCCTGTGCTGGGCCGAGGCGGGGGTGGGCATCGGCAGGGGCAACATGAGAGCCACCTGACATGGGGGACGGTGCCTTGGGCCGTGGCTGCGAGGCCAAGGCCCACCTCATGGGTCCTCTGCTGTCAGGATGGCCGCGGGCCTGAAACCCCTGGCACCTGCTGCGCAAGCCCCCCCCCCGCACCTGCCAGGCGAGCCCCCTGCACCTGCCGGGCGAGCAGCTGGCACCTGCTGCACCCCG